ACGTAGCTGGTTCAATTTCGTTGTTACTAGCTGTATACGGCTGTGTATAAAGCTGTATCGGTTGTACGTAGACATTTTGTACGATTTAGCTTAATGGCTGCATTTTCGTATTTTGGCAAATGATAATTTTGATTTATCCACTGTGTATGTTTTACGATACGTCATCACAATCCTAACGGCGCTCTTGTAACAGCGACGCGTGATACGCAATGATAGGATGCGTGGATAGGTGCATAAGTATATTCCATACGAATCATCATTAAGCGAAATGCGCAGGCGAAACGCAAAAGTCTCGCGGCGAAATACTTTTTTTCCTCTCTCGACGGGGTTTCAATAGCGGGCGATGATTTAAAAGCGGCCGCGGATGGAGTCATCCACGGTTTCTGGTCGATATTTTCAATGGCGACGAGTCAACCCCCGGCGGCTGTCCCTTCTCGCCATCCACCCCTTCTCCGTATCTTCGCATGTAGGCCAAGAGTCCGCTGGCTGCAGTTTTTTGTTTCCCGACGCGAATCGCAACGACGACGGATCATTACGCGGAACGAAATGCAGTGGCGAATATTTTTTTCTTCCCCCCGCCACGCGCGCACGCATTCTTAATGATTTCGCGTTAAACCTCGCGGCGTGATAATTAAAAAATGTTCCGGCCTCGTTGAATTGAACGTCTTGTTTATCTATCATCGAATCACTGATGTGCGTTAAGAGACAAGGGTCACAAAGTTTCTCTCGCGAAGAGCGGCACTGTGGCCGTAGCATCCCCGAGGGGCCTTAATAAATTCGTCGGAACGACCCCGTCGCTTCAGATTAGAAACCTTCACGGTTCGACTATTCAAACGAGGCCGTTCCGTGTCTTTCGAAATAGTGACCCAGTTTTTTCCTCCACTTTTTAAAGGAAAGTCGCGGACGTGGCGTTCCCCGCGAGCCTGGCAACACGGGACAAAAGACGAGGGGGTTTCACGAGAAAATACCGACATGGAAAATAGAAAAAAAATCGGCCTCGCGATTCGTTCTTCAAAGTCCTCCATTGTTTTTTATCTGTCATGCAAACGGCGACGACAATATGGACGGTCGGGACAAATTTAGCGGTGGGAGTGGGGTGAAACGGGTGCATAAAGGGTGCAACGCAAAGGAAACAACGGCGGCCTCGATAGTCATCGGTAATCACCCATGTGCCGCGACTGGGATGAAACCGACGAAAAGCAATCTCGAACGTGCACTACCAGACCCCTTCGTCTCTCGCTGTTTTTTTCTCTGTCGCCAGGAACTCTGATCAACCCTCAT